AGGAAAACACAAGTGAGCTGAAAACGACGGGGGGAAGAAAAAAACCTGGAAACTGTTCAGCTGGGTCCTCAGAGATCTGAAGTATGAGGGACATTGGCAGAAAAAATGCATTGCAGTGCATATCCATTTAATTGCAGGTAGATTTGCGGTGATGGCAGCAGTGGGAGAGGCAGTGTAGGTGTTTTTCCTACGCTGAGCGTGCATTCACATGTTATTTCAAGCGCCGCTACCTAAAACCATTCAACATTTTAAAGGTTGCCTAGTTAAGAAGTATAAAAAAATAATCCGATTTTATTTCTGGAAACCAAGAAATGAAAATAACATTGGAAAATCAGCAAACTCAGCACTTTTTGTCACTTCTTCACGATTATTTTTATAACCTTGGGCACTCTATTAGAAAAAAATATTCCACATTGTAGCTGAGGTCCTGTTGTATGCTTTCTAGCATCATGGTGGTTCTACATCACTTCACACCTCAAAAGCCTGGCATTAAGGAACTTACACTAGCTAAATAAAATTGTTCAATTACCACTTTTTAATATGGCATTTTAAAGTTTCAACAGTATGCACTATTGGCATGTTTTATTCCAGTAGGATGTGACACCTTCTTGGGCTGAGCTGAACAACTCTGTTAAGCAGAGGGGGACTATGACACTGCAGTCTATGCCTGGAATGACAATTTTCACAATGTAACACAAGCCACTAGAGCAGTTAATTATTATCAATGAATTTACTCCACACACACATACAGGAAAAAAAAAAAAAAAAGAAAAAGGTTTGGTTATAGCCATGCTGTAGAAAGAAATTTAATTTTGCTAGACTTGAATAATGTAGGTAACACTAAGAGACTAAAAGAGCTGTGGAAGGGAAAGGACTACCCAAAGGCAGCAATTTTTTCACCTTCCAAACAAGATTTAAATGCTGTTGACAGGGAAAGTATAGGACATCTTCCCAGAGCAGGTCTGTGCCATAAAACACGCTTGAGAAGGGCAAAGAAGGGCTTCTCTTTAGAAGCACTATGTTGAAGCACTTCTGCACTCCACAGCTACTTGCTCATGCTGTAATACCGGAGGTGCAGGTGACCTGGAGAGGGACCATCTCAACAGAACAAGCGAAGGAGGGAGCACCAAGCACTGATTTTGTCAGTAGTTTTCTCTGTTGCCTTTGGTGGTAGAGGAGAACAGCTGCTCTACCAGGAGGATGTCCTCACCTGGTGCACAGCCTGCTGCCATGGGACCCGGTCCCATCACACACACTCAGCATCGTGGCTTTCAGAGCAAGAGCAAGCCATGGAATAAGGTGTACGGCTTGCATGTTTTGAGTTCAACAGCCAGCAGAAAAGATAAAGTAACAAAGACCTGGCATTCAACTCCCCTTCAGGCCGTGACCTCAGTTTGGCTGCAGGGCTCCTCAGAGGAGGTGCTAAGGAAGGTCTTTACATGTGTCCCTGGAGGTGCCTGGGGCTGTGGAATCGAACCAGGACCGAAACCCACCATGGCACTGCTGAGACCTAGCGAGTGTAGCCCCATGGCAGAGCAGTGTAAATGAAAACCACATTGTACTCAGCAAGACTGAGTAAAACAAACACTTTCTGGTGATCTGTCAGGGTGCAGGGTGATCTGGCCTTACTGGAAAACCTTAATTTATCAACAGATATGTAGAAACGTGATAAAATATAATGAATAGAAATACCTCCCCAGAGATTGTGTCATTTATGTGATACCTATTGTTTTGTTTGCTTTTGTTTTACAGTCCATTTCAGATTTATATCCTGCAGTCTTGTAGAGAATCCACCAAACGGCTGTATTTTGAGTGCTTTGCAGCCTAACTGGCTGAAGTTTTAGCTCAACCCCACCACTTTTTGCATGGAAGGAAGGTAGTGGGATAGGAGCCATCAGCCATTACTCAATCACTTCATGTAATATGTTGCAGACGAGAAGTGTGCCCTTTGATGAGTTACTTCTTAAGTAAAAACATACTTCAAGCATTTACTTCTGTCACAACAGTAACTCCTTTCCTTCCACTCGGGGCGGGGGCGGGGTGGGGGGATATCACAGCACCACAAGCTATCCAAAAAGAAGCCAAGGTACATAACCTGTAACTCCGTTCTGAGTTTTGGAGCTAACAAAGGACAACTTAATCCGAACGTGTAGCACTCGTATTCTGTTGTGCACTGCAAGTACGAAGCAGGCCATGCAGACTAAACGAGTGGGAGTGGGGGTGGCAGGAAATGGAATTTGTTTCAAAGTGGAGCCTAATTAGTTTCTGAAATGGATTAGATGATGTAGTTGCCGGAGGTAACAAAAACTAGACACGATGACCCAGGAGATCTTTTCCCGTCCAATGCAAAGGAAGAGAGTAAAGCTTAGTGATGTGAGTCAAAATCTATGAAACACAAGGGCATGGGCTTTGTCTTGCTGGATGCTTGTACATGGCTAGACCAAAAGGGTTGAGCAATTGAATCTTGGGCCTCCACTTCCTGCCACTGTTCACACCAAAGCAAAGGGTACGGACCAGAATCTCCTTAGTATGCTCCTTGGGACAGCATCTGCAAGCTTGCAAACTCAGAAACTAACTTTTACAGAAAAAGTAGGAATGAAGAAAATAATTAGAAAACCTGGGATAAACCCCTTCATAGGTTTGCCTAAATAAGCATGTCTTGTATATGCAGCAAAAATAAAAAAGCACATTTTTCTGTATGATTTGTAATAGAGAAAGCTAGCTCAACATGCCTAATGGAAGCAGTGCAAGGGGATTGTTTTTATACCAAAGCAGTAAAAGCCCTTGAAGGCTGCAAGTACTGTGAAATGTGCTCATACATCCTCTCGTAGTGGTGGCAACGTTAACTTATGAATGCTTAGGTCTGTGGAGTTTGCCACCTCCGTAGATCTGCTCATCTGATTGCACAAGTGAGTGCTTCCCTCAAGCCTTTTCACTACAAATAAGCTTTAAACAGCTTTCTAAGAGGGCTCTTCGCACTCAGCTCCTTTTGACTTACAGCTAGGGAGTGATCACACAGCCCAGAGCTGCTGGAAGACCCAAAGTGGCAGTGAGGTTTGGTGGAGCTGAACCACTGGGGTGATTTCTGTAGCTAGGAAAAGGAAAAGACGTGTGGGACAGCTGAAAGAGGAACCTCAGGACTGGTATTTCATCTCAACCTTCAGTATAAGCACAAGGGAAGATTCTGAAAATCACAATAAAACAGGCGAGAGGTCTCATCACCCAACAGCAGCTGTCTAGAGGACAGTATAAGAGAAGTCTGTGAATAAAGCAGTGTTTTTTTAGTCCCTTTCCCTCATCCAGTAAGGTATAGCCTTGCATCATCCCAGCACAAGGGTTTAACTCCTTATTTAACAGCCCTTGATAGAGTTTTGCCTCACAGCTTTACTGAACCCAGAATTTGGTGAACTGTTACTTTATTTAAAATGAGGTTTACAAATTGAGGACTAGTCAGAGCTTTGGAAAGCAGCCCTATCAATCCTTTCCATTCTTCTTTTCCCTTCTTCCTCACAATGGTATTTCTTTGGGGTGGGTGTATACAGCATTCATGGGGATAGCAATTTTGTCTATTTTGGCCTTTCAAAAGGCTTTGCAGGCAAAAGATCTCAGCGTAGTTTAGGAAGCCAGCCAGTGGCATTGGCACCAGTAGGCTGTTAAGTATTTTCTTTTCAAAAACCACATATTCTGTTTGCTTGCTTTCTTAGAACAAAATGATTCATGATTAAAAGGGAAAAATCCTTCTGTGACTGTGTCATTAATAGAATCCATCCACAGAGAATCCTGATTACACACACACAGCTCAAACCAAGCCAAGCCTTTCTTTACTCTTGGTTAAATGACTTCTGAGAAGCTCCTGCCCTGCTGAAATTAAGAGTTAAAATTGGTGCTCATGTGCTCACCTAAATGGATGAAGTCCAGACAATTCTTCTGCTGCAACAGCTAGGTCTCCAAGAGAATACCCGAATACCAAAGCCACAGTCCATCACCTACCAAAGCTCCAATGCACATGCCTCTATCCACTAGCTCAGCACTTCCAGCTATGCAAGAATATACAAAGGGATGTGAGGCCTTGAACTTCATACTTTAAATGTAAACTTCAGGATTGGCTGAGACTTGCTTACAGGCTGCTGTTCAACATAGGATAAAGTCCATGAGAATCTTTTTTCCTTTGGAGTATCCTGACATAGCCATAGGAGACAACACAGAAGGTTAGACAGGATAGATGGCTGATGAATTAACACACAAAGATGAAGATATTTTCATTGCAGCGTGCATGTATCATTTATCAAATAGCATATTCCCCAGAAACTTATACTTTTAAGAAACTAGGACAACAGGATTCCGGATGTTTCCTTTTGCCAGACTGTATTTTGCAGTTCAGGCAATAAAATCGACCACTCTGTAATTCTTTCAGCCAAAATATTCAGACCAGCATGCCAAAAATTGTACTTATAAACCCAGATTTAAGTAGTCAAATCAGAGTCTTGCTTCCTGTCCAAAGACTTGTTCTCTGATTAACGCAACAATAGATTAAGATGATGATGATATTTTAAATATATTCCTATAATGACTGAGAAGCTTCTGCAAATAGCAAAAGACGTAAGAATGAACAAATCCCTTGTATATTACAAAGGTATTTATCCTTTATAAAAGCTGCTACAGAAGTTTAAGTTGCTTTACATTAAAGCTCCTTAGGCGTGTGTAGCTAGCCATTATACAAGAGTACCATCAAATGAATATTTAGCAATAATTTTGATGAAAAATTATGCTAGTCAAAATTATTTAATCTCCTCTCAGTTTACCTGTATACACAGACATACTAAACTGTCACTTGCTTTATGGGGAAATAATTCTACAAGGACAAATGTCCTTGACAATGTCACCACTGCGTTAAGTGCAAGTAGTTTTTCTTTTAATAGAAAACAGAGAGGTCATTGCTTCATCCATATGTCAAATTTATACTGTGACAGTTCTGAAAGTATTTTTTTATTTTCTTTTAGGAATGCTTGCAGTAAAATGACCACTTACCATTTTTCTCCAATCTTCAAAAACATCTTCAACCAATCACACATTCTTTGTCTGAGGACGAGGCGCTTCTTCATCTTCTTCTGAAGATGAGCAAATAGGGAAACTAGCTTCTGAAATTAAGACTAATTGCTTGTGTAACAACTCACAGTTGTGGGAGCTGGGAAAAGCTCATGAGAAACAGCACCACCACCAAGTGAAGAATTAATTCCCTCTGTGCAGGACTGTAAAGCAGCTGGTGTAACTGAAAGCGATGGCAGGATATTCTGGACGAGGAAGAATTAAGTCTGCAGCATCTTAGCTGCATTCTATCCAAGAGACTGGTATAACATCGTAATTGGGGAACAAAAAAAGGTACGTGGTCTGATGACTGAGGATTTCAGTGCAATACAAATGTGCAATAGAGGAGAGCGTTCCAGAGATTCTGACTAAATGTGCATTTTTGAAATGTAGTTGCATTACTTCCACGATCACGTGCTTTTTTGAGATATTTCTTAGGACTGCAAAATGTCACAGGAGTCAAAATAAGACTTAGAACATAAAATCTCCAAGTTCCACTGAACTACCAGCTAAATGGGACTTCTGGCCAATTACCAGCAACAGCCAGTCTCTTGAAATTTGGGAACAGTAAAGAGATTATTTGGCAGCAACTCTGTCCACAAGAGTGGATTCCTCTCTCTCAAGCCTTACTACATAGTTCTTAGGGAACATTTTATCCAGGTCTCTATACTTTCAACCTCACAAACCACGCTAAAACCCCTTAGAAAGAGTTACAAGAAACAACGGCAAGGAAATTTCTTGTATATTTTGTCTAGTGGGAAATGAGTCCAATGTTTGTCTTGTATGAAGTCTCTACAGATACTTCAGGAGAGCAGAATTCTGCTTCTGCCAGCAGAACCAGTTGGATATAAAAACATCCACAGCAAGAACTCAGTTGAAAGAACAGCCCAGTCCTACACCCCCCTTCTGTCTTCTGTACTGAACCATGCACAGGGAGACATTCCAAAGAGAAACAGACCTATGCACATAATCTGGGACAGGGTTTTCCCCCAGTGGATGCAACAGCTCTCCCATTCATTTTGTACCATACCACGCATGAAAGGCATTGCCTGATGTTCCTGTGAACGTCCTGTCAACACTCCCTGCTTCTCACTGTGTTAAAGCCTCGCATGCTCTAAGTGCAACCCTCTCTGAACAGCTAAAAGAAGGCTCTAGCATATGAAAACTGGAGTGTTGAAGTATAGAAGTTTGTTTAAAAAATACCAAAAAACAAAAAACACAATTACAACATGTTATTAAGAAGATTTATTTGAAAATTTATTTGGTCAGCAAAGAAGCCCAAACACAATAGTATATTTCTGACAGAACCCGCCACAGAACAAGAGTGAAGACAAATGCAGGACTGTAATTCGTAATACTGTTCCCTCTCCCGTCACACACAAGTTTTTCAGATCAATGACATCAGTAACAAGCCTCGGAGATCAGGACTTTAAATTTTCATATCTCTTTACATCTGAAGTGAAGGAGGTAGAACTGAACTGAAAATGCTGATTTGAAAAAACAGACTAACTACTAGTGGAAACAAAGAGATTCCCAACTACACCTCAGACTTGCTTTGGTGTAGCTGGCTGCTGCAGAGGGCACAGCAACTACTGCTGTGTATTACAATTATGCATGCTATAGAGACACCAGACACAACGGGCATGAATTAATTGCAGCTGTGACTTTCTCCAGTTCAAGAAGGCTCACGAATGTTTGTCAGAATTAAAACAGCACACTGTCTGTCCCTTTGCCCTGGTATGGCAGCACTGCTCAATACGAACTACAGCTCTCCAGCACAATGTGATTCGTAGCAGCAGTGCTTCAGAGAAAGTCCTTGGAAGTGTTCAGGGTGCCATTGTCTACGGGATCACCAGTACTAAGGTGTCTGTCCTGCCCCTCTTGCACAGAGGGGCTGCGTGCCTCAGTCTGGCAGGTCAGCTTTAGTGGGGCAAGCACAACTGCACAAAAGGAGAGAGCAACAGAACTGGAGCCCAACAGCCTGTGCAGGTGGGTGAGCACACGCACAGAGGTACATTCTGAATTTGTCTACGTTTATGCCTTGTGCATGTAACACACAGGTGGGCACAGGAGTGCTGAATCCAAAATAAACATGGCCCTTAGGGCTAACACGGCTTCCAGACCTCCGCTCAGAGTACACAGATGTACCCTCAGTCTAGCAGGCTGCTACTACGTCTTCTTTCAACCTTCAAGCGAATTAGATGCTTTTTATTAGAATGGCAGAAATCATTGTTGGCGTTGGTCCCAAGACTGCTTTGTCCTCCCAAGGATCTCTTATGCTAAACAGATCTCTAACAGGCTGGGCCACACCAGGTTTCTCCCCCACTTCCCCCCACCTCCTTCATTAGAACATTTTCCTATCTAATTTTGCTTTAGAGTTGAACTCCTGCCAGACAAGTATCAGCGTGTAAGAAAAACTTCCTGCTTTATTATAAGTCTTCAAAAAAGAATTGAAATGGCTGGGCTACAGTAATCTGATATGTTGTGTCTTGGCCAGTGGGCTCCTGGTTCTCAAAAAAAAAAAAGTAAAAATCAAGGAGTACCAGACACAACACTGTTGTGCTGTGTTAAGCTGGATCCCAACGCTACTACATTTAATAAGACTAGACAGTGGGACTACTCAGTTTTTTAAATGGAAAGAGATGACAATTTTTATAGTCTTTTTGTCATTGCTTTTAAGTTTTCCCAGTTCACTAAGTATAGGTATTGTTACATTTCTCACAGTATGGTAAAGGTAGGCTGGAATCAAATGAGTGAAACTGAGTTTAGATAGGTATATTACTAGCCCTTCCTTTTACTAATCAGCAACAGCATGTAGGTAGAATGGACTGTGACCATCACTGATGGTGTAAAAGGAGCACAGGGCAGAAGAACATTGTGCCCTAGTCAGCCTCTTCCCCAAAGCCCATCCAAAACCAAAATTTGCAGTTTATTCTTTCAGCAGCACAGCCAGAGGCACCCATCCCTACAGCTCAGTGGCAGGTCAGAGCACAGTCCGGGTACTCACAGCTTGAGGGGAATAATAGGCCAGTATTTGGGCTGTTTTTTGTCACAATTTCTATCAAAGATAAGTTGCATGGCAGTCTCCATCGCGAGGATTTTGGCAGCTTCAGCACCATACAGTTTCTCCATTTCTACCATTCGTCTCTCCCCGGGTCTTTCTGTAGGCGGCTCCACAGAACGCCTCGTGCTTCTGTGAAGGTCTTGATCAGCCTCCACGTACATTTCATGTTGCTCAGCTTCCAACTGCTGCTGTCTCCCTAGACAAATAAACCACGAGAGATGTAAATTACTGAGTTATCAACCAATCACAATTTATTTTAACGTTTAAAATATTACACATTCACAACTGTGGTGGGTCTAAACAGCCCAGACCCACCCCTTCCAGGGTGCAGCCAACTCCTTGAAGGGAAGAAGAGCCTGGATTTGAACATAAAAAATGTAGAAAAGCTCTCTGTTAGTAAAAAAGTGAAAATCAGCATTACTTCACTTCCTCCCTAACATATACATGCCCTGAAAAGAAAAAAAAACACACTGTAAGAGTTGGTTTCCAAAAGTAATTACTTAGCAGCTGAGATAATGAAACAATGCACACGACAATGCAACTTTAGCTGAACCACAGCCAACAGAAAATGTAATCAGTTACTACTCCTTGAAAATGAGCAAACCCATCCCTCATGCAAGTGTCAGCCATCGAGTGTATCCAATGAAACGCAGCTGTAAGCCGTGTGTTTAGATAAACTGCCCAACCTCAGCCATTTCTCAGGACTTGCAAAGTTCAGAACTGACAGCCTTACTGCTATTGCCTTAAAGACAATGCAAAACAACAGCCGAGACAGATCCCTGCACAACATTTTTTAAAGAGGATTAAAACACTTCAGAGAGGTGAAACACTTGGACCAATGTGTCTTTAAAAATCCTCTTTGGTAAATCCCAATCTGGGAGGAGGAACTTGCTTTTGCACACCCAAAGATACCTCCACTTTGTGGGAGCTGCTCTGATGGAGCAAATATTGCTGTAGGCAGGTTACAACAGCAAAGGGTACACAAGGCTCCCTTATTATGGGGGACACTTCTACAAGGTGAAGATCACCTGGTGAGTGTTGAACTCCTTCACCTACCAATAACAAATGATGGTTCTCTAAATTGCATCATGGAAACAGTACATTAGTAATGCGAGCACTCATTCATTTATTTTTCTTAGAAAAACAGCATCAACAAAAACCAAGAGAGTCACCTGGTCAGGATGCGTTAGTCACATGCAGGACGTGCTTCCCCGTGTTTGGTGCTGCCAGCTCTTCCTCTAAGAGCGAGATTTAGCTTCTACCAAACACACGACATCTGCAAACCCTAACCCAAGCTAAGCACCCTGACATATCTGTGTCAAACATCTGCAGTTCATTCTTACCCTGCAAACGCTGCATGGAGCAGCCAGCTGACTGCCTGTCAGCCTTACTAAATGAATTATCCCCCGTACCTCCTGCACAGAAAATAGGTACTTTCAACAGCATGATCAGAAAACCTCAGTTCTGGCATCTGTTTGTCACAGAGGAACTGGGAACAGTTTTGTCCTGCCACTTCAAACCCCAGCCACAGGCTTTGTGTCGGTAGGGGAAGGGCAGGAGTGCTTGAGGGGCCGTGAGCAACCTACTCCAGAGGGATGTTTCCCTTTCAGCTGATTTTGCTTTAAGGGCACACCCCCAAAGTGTGCTGCACTGCCAGAGCTCAGGAGGAAACATACATTAGAGGTCCACATGTGTTTTGGAAGGGCCGGATTTATTTGGTGTCAGGCCATTTTAAGCAGAAGGTCTGAATTAAAAGTGCTAACGCTGCCTGCAGAGGGCCCAGCACCAGGAGGACAGCTCAGGCTGCCCAGGTCACCTGCATCCCAAACTTACTGGGACGCCAGGCTGCCCACAACCAGGTAACACGCTTAAGGGACAAACTCGGTGCAGTTTATGCAACTTACACTCAATATTCTTTGACAAAACCCCGGAATCTACGCTAGAAAAACGTCTCCTGTTGCAGGTTACACAGCAAAACTCCGTCAGGGCAATGGGCAAACCTGTATTTGTTGACTCTCTTGAGCCACAAAAACAATTCCTTCTCTACCTCTGCATCGCCCATGGAAACGTGTTACTCATCGGTAGCTGCGTGCTAGAGCCAGCTGCTTCCCCGCCTGCCTGTGAGCGCTCTCTGATAGCTCACTGCACACAGTAACACTGAAGAAAAAATTAATTTCTCTGGAGATATGTAATGAATTCTTCTGTTTGGAAATTAAATGGGCTTCTAGCAGAAGCTTTATGATGGATGAGTGGATTGCAGTTTAGCATGCATCCATCTCCGTTCGAAGCATGGAACAGTTTGCTCACTATCTACCTTTGGTGGGACAGGGGCTCGAAGTCAAACCACTCTGATTTCCAGCCAGCCTGGGCTCTTCCCTTTACCTCAATTTACTTGAACAACAGTACAACCTGTGCTACATGTGCAATTACCTTTTCATCAAAAAGATGACAAGTCCCTGAAAATGGAAACAACAATAAAACAACCGTAAGCTGTTTAAAGCTGTTAATAACCTGCAGCGGCAGCTGGCATTTCTTTGAAGCAAGCGCCAAACATTCACCTATGAATTAGGCAGCGGGGCTTTTATCAGAAAAATAGTTCTCAGCCCGCAGCAACGGAGTCCCCAGCTCATTTTCCAATCTGAGCTCCACACTCCACATTCGTCATTGTGCTGCCAAGCAATAAACGTGAAACAATTTTTACACAATGCTGAGTAGTTCCTCCTTCCACTTCACACAGACTAAAATAAACGTGCTTTCCTTTACAGCGTTCAGCTTCACCTACTGGCAAGCCTCCCCCAGCTGTGGAGCAGCACTTTGTGAACGTTCACAAGGCCGGCGAGGCGGCGCTGGCAGCG